CCACCTATAGCTCCAGTTCCTCCACATAATCCAGTTCAACCTTCTGCAGCTCCACCACTCTTGGCTTATCATCGTCGTCCACATCCAGCATCAGGCCCAGGTGATTCACGCCCCGCATCAGATTTTGCACCTACTGCGGACTTGTCTCCTCTTAGTCAACCAATTGCACTCCGCAAAGGTGTACGATCCACACTTANCTGTACGATCCACACTTAATCCTAATTCCCACTATGTCAGTTTAAGTTATCATCGTCTGTCGTCACCACATTATACTTTTATATCTTCTTTGTCCACTGTTTCTATCCCTAAGTCTACAGGTGAGGCATTATCTCATCCAGGATGGCGACATGCTATGATTGACGAGATGTCTGCTTTACATGCGAGTGACACTTGGGAGCTTGTTTCTCTTCCTGCAGGTAAGTCTATTGTTGGTTGTCGTTGGGTTTATGCAGTCAAAGTCGGCCCGGATGGCCAGATTGATAGGCTTAAGGCTCGTCTTGTTGCAAAAGGATATACTCAGATTTTTGGGCTTGATTATAGTGATACTTTCTCTCCCGTGGCTAAAGTAGCATCTGTTCGTCTCTTTTTGTCCATGGCTGCTGTACGTCATTGTCCTCTTTATCAGTTAGATATTAAGAATGCTTTTCTCCACGGTGATCTTGAGGAAAAAGTTTATATGGAGCAACCACCTGGTTTTGTTGCTTAGGGGGAGTTTAATGGTTGTGTGCAGATTGCGTAAGTCACTATATGGTTTGAAACAGTCCCCTCGAGCTTGATTTGGTAAGTTCAGCACAATTATTCAGGAGTTCGGCATGACTCGTAGTGAGGCTGATCACTCTGTGTTTTATCGGCATTCTGCTCCTAATCTGTGTATTTATCTAGTGGTTTATGTTGATGATATTGTTATTACTGGTAATGATCAGGATGGTATTACTAATCTGAAGGAACATCTCTTTCAACACTTCTAGACTAAAGATCTGGACAGATTGAAGTATTTTCTAGGTATTGAGGTCGCTCAGTCTAGCTCAGGTATTGTTATTTCACAGCGGAAGTATGCCTTAGACATTCTTGAGGAGACTGGAATGATGGGTTGCAGACCTATTGACTCTCCTATGGATCCGAATGCTAAGCTTCTGCCTGGACAGGGGGAGCCTCTTAGAGACCCTACGAGATATAGGAGGTTGGTTGGCAAATTGAATTACCTCACAGTGACTAGACCTGACATTTCTTTTCCGGTGAGTGTTGTAAGTCAGTTTATGGATTCTCCCTGTGATAGTCACTGGGATGCAGTTGTTCGCATTCTTCGGTATATAAAGTCAGCTCCAGGCAAAGGATTACTATTCGAGGATCGAGGCCACGAGCAGATTGTTGGGTACACAGATGCTGATTGGGCAGGATCACCTTTTGATAGACGTTCTACGTCTGGATATTGTGTTCTAGTAGGAGGTAATTTGGTCTCGTGGAAGAGCAAGAAACAGAATGTAGTTGCTCGATCTAGCGCCGAAGCCGAATATCGGGCCATGGCTATGGCGACGTGTGAGTTAGTTTGGGTCAAGCAGTTGCTCAAGGAGTTAAAGTTCGGAGAAATCAGCAAGATGGAACTAGTGTGTGATAACCAAGCTGCTCTTCATATTGCGTCAAATCCGGTGTTCTATGATAGGACTAAACACATTGAGATCGACTGTCACTTTGTCAGAGAAAAAATACTTTCAGGAGATATTGTTACAAAGTTTGTAAAGTCGAATGATCAACTAGCAGATATTTTCACTAAGTCTCTTACTGGTTCTCGTATTAGTTACATGTGTAACAAGCTCGGTACATATGATGTGTATGCACCGGCTTGAGGGGGAGTGTTAGTTTATAGATATGTATAGTGTAGTCTTGTCCCACATTGGAAGAGGAGTAATATCTCCTTGTAGTGTATAGCTATAAATAGGGACCTCTTGTATTGTATTTATCATCCAATATCAATAACATATTTTCTCCCGTGCCTTCTCACAGAAATAAAGTGAATGCGATATGTCAGAGCATGTTAGGCCCCTAAAGGCCATACCAATAAGATGAGCTTTTAAGGTCATATAGGATTGGACAAAATAAATTCACATCTAATAGAGGGTTCAAGACATAGAGGATAGAATTGCTGGTCTCCTGAGATGGTTTGACACTACCTCCGATGTAGACTCCAAATGTACAGTTCATATGTGCTATAATATAATAGAGGAGAACAGTAAAGAGGGAAAGAGGTAGATCTAATGATTTTGGAGAGTAGTTGTCTCAAATGACATACAATCTCATGGAATCAAGAAATTAGGTTCGATGTTCATCAAGAGTTCTTTAGTTTGGTTATAGACTTGTATGTCAGTGTTGAGATAAGTGCGAGATCCAAAGAACCTCTACTTTTAGATAACTTCAAATTTGCTTTAAACCATAATTCATTTAGTATTGGAATGAAACAGGCTTTAATAAAGTAGGTTGGATAGAAAGGATCCTATATCCAACTTTAATATATATGGTGTTGATCTTTACCTACTATCTTGTGAAAAGTAAAATATCAATCTGAAACGATTGGCATTCTTATTTCTTCTATCTCCCTCTTATCGTTGATTCCCTTGTTAACAAATACTTTCTACCAGATAGTGAATGATTTGAAATTCACGGTAACCCAAGCAGTGGAGCCTGTAGAGAAAGGAATTCAAAAATTGCATAAGATCTCTCAGAACATAAAGAAGCATGAGAAAGAGAAGCGAACGAAGGATGACAGTTGCATTGCAACATCGTCTCCAGCACGGAGAGTCATACGTGGGATAGATGATCCCCTTTTACATGGAAGCATTAGTGACAGTGGAACTTCCAGGAAAAAGAAGCACCGCTCCCGGAAATCTGGATATACCAGTGCAGAAAGTGGTGGAGAAAGTAGCAGTGATCAGAGCTTTGGTGGTATCCAAGTTCGTGGCCGAAGATGGGTTACTAAGGATTAGTCAGAAAAACAAGAACAGAAAATAATTGCTTTGAAGACTTGATGCGCACCTCTGCCTTCAAAAATCTGGAGTTGTTTAGCTCTTCATTACATCATTCTTCTGCTCCGAGGAAGTTTAAGTATTTGCTTCAGCAAAGTTGATCTGGGGCTTTTTTTCTCCAGAGTTGAAGTGCTACATTATGAAAGCACTTGCAGATTCGTTCTCTCTTGTCATTATTGTTGCACATAATGGTCTTCAAATGTTGTATAGATGTATCCTCATCGGTATATGGTCCCTCATTGTATTGGGATCAGTTTGCCTCGTATAGAAGGTTATGCATTCAGTTTTGGATCTTCGGCAGATGTATGTCCTTAATGAAATTAACTCGATCACAGCCATTAATCTATCAGATGGTGTTTTTCTCCAGCATTTTACTGATAATTTATTGAAAGAAAGCATTTTGCTTTGAGCTAAGCCAGTATGTCAATGCTACAATATTTTAGCACAAGACCTTCAATAACTGACTTGGGTATACTTTGCTGAGACATGACAAAATAATCTAACAGCAAAAACAACAGTTTTAATTAGTGCAAAGCTTCTCAAATATTCATTTTGGTATTTTTATGTACTCAGTCGCTACAGGTGCAGTAAAGTGTGTATTAGTTTAGTAATACAATGTATATGCACAATTGTCTTTTCTTTTCTTTCGACTATGAACTTCAAACATCTTTAAGTATTTTTATCAATTAAATGTGGTGATTATATTTTTTTAACGTAGTTTTTGAATAGGTAAATTCCGTCTTAATAAAATTAGATGAATGTACTAATTCTTACTTAAGATAGATCGGTTGACGTTTCCTTTCTATTTGAACTTGACCAAGACAACTTGTTTGATTATGTTGAGATTTTAAAGGCCAAAATTTGGTTTACTTCAAAAGAATTGGTGAAATAGTAAAGGGTCGATCAATTTTACCTAAAGCCTCAATCTATTATCTTTTTCTTTTGCGACGCATTTTTTTTTTGAAAGAACTGACGAGTTTATGATCAAAGCATGAGCTATGCAAATAAGATCTTGACTACAAATTGATGTGGTTAGACATTAATGTACAAATTGATGTGGTTAGACTTTAATTTTAAGTTATCTTGTGATTTATGAGGATAAGTAGATATGGAGTTGGCATTAATTTCCACATTAGTACAAACGATACCGATACTCAGAGGCGGATCCAGGATTTAAATTTTATGGGTTCAATTTTTAAGATTTTTAACATTGAACCCATTATATATTTAAAGTTATGGGTTCAAATCTATTATTTTTGTAATTTTAATAAATTTTTACACATAAATTTCTACTCTGCGTCGAAAGTTATGAGTTCAATTGAACCTGTAACTCTCACACTGGATCCGCCTCTGCCGATACTAGCTGTTATAAACTATCTTTTTGTGCTTGCCATGCAGATACAAACAAATTGCGATAAGTCCAAGGTCAAATACAAACCCAAGTTTGTAACTGAAAACTAAGAGATGTGAACAAACTTCAATGCTACATTATCTAGTGGTTTATGAGGATAACTGGAGATAATATTAGAGTTATCATTATTTTCCTGATGAGTACGAATTTGAAGTCAGTTATAGATGCTATAAAATTTCTTTTGTCCAAGTGCTCCCAAGTCAATTGTTTACGGGTAAAAGACTAAAATTAGTGTTCGTCATAGCATTTACCACTACTTCCTCCTATTTCAAATATTAGTCGTGTTAACAAAGTTGATTTATTTTAAAAGTATTGGCGTTTTAGAAAAACAAGAAATTATTTATGTTACTTTTTTTTAATATATCCTTATTATTCCAATTAAAACTAACAAACTAGAGCTATTATATATATCTTTCTTAAGGAGTATGCGAAAAATATGAAAAGGGACACTACTAGAAATTTGGCAAAAACCGACCAAGATCGACTGACGGTTAAAAAACCGACCAAAGTTGGTCGGTTTTTCAAAAAAAAAAAAAATATATATATATTTTTTACGAAACCGACCAACTTTGGTCGGTTTTCTTTTGCGCAAAAATACGGAAAACTATTTTTGTGTCCCGCGAAATTTATGTTTCAAGAAACCGACCAACTTTGGTCGGTTTTTTCAATTAAAATAAATAAAAATTAATATTAAAAAAACCGACCAAAATTAGTCGGTTAATTCGGCCGGTCATTTAAAAAAACCGACCAACTTTGTTCGGTAATTTTTTAATAAAACCGACTAACTTTGGTCGGTTATTTTCGTGCGAAAATTCAATTAAAGAATATAAATCAAATAAAAGATAGTCTTAAAACAAAATGTATCAATGGTCTAGTGGTAGAATAGTATTCTGCCACAGTACAGACTCCGGTTCGATTCCTAGATGGTGAATATTTTTATTACATAATTAAAATACCGACCAACTTTGGTCGATTTTTTTTGCAATATTTTTTTTTTAATTTAATTGACCGACCAAAGTTGGTCGGTAATTTCCGACCAACTTTGGTCGGTATGCCTTTCCGACCACAAAAATACCGTCCACACGTAAATGGTCGCGTTTTGGTCGGTTTTTTACCATTACCGACCAACGTTGGTCGGTTTTTGTGGTCGATTTTTACCGGATTTCTAGTAGTGGGAAGAGAGAGTAAAATTTGACCATAAATATAACAATCACCAAACTTCAACAAAAAGCACCACTAGTGCAGGGAATACATTAGCTACACTAATTAGGCCAGAGTTTATAACTATGGATATGATCAGATTTCAATTCCAGATTATCTTTATGTGTTTTACTAGGATAAATATGAACTGAAGTTAATACAAAAGTTAGTAGATTTTGTCAATTTGCCACTCCCAAAACAGGATAATTAACTTAAATNACTTTCTTAATCACTTTCTATTTAAACTTCTTAAGTAAGTATAAAGTTCAAGAAAGTATATTTCTCCAACAAAATCAAGTCACAATAACAAGACCATAAGTTACAAAGATATTTTTAAAGTACATAGTAATCTTTTTTATGAATTATTTTTCTATAATATACTTTTTATTTATTTATTTAAATATATTTTACAATGAGTTTAATTTTATTATAATTTTGTGACTTAAAAGTTATAGAGCGACAAAACATAGCTTGGATGCATGAAGAATCACATTGTCACAACCTGAAGTCATGTGTATTTTTTGAGCAATTAACATATAATTCGAATACTTTAGCGTAAAATAAAATAGTTTCATGACTTGAATTATATAGTGGCTAAAGTTTATGGACCAAATGTGAAATTAATATATGAATGAGTTTGAATAGCTGGAAATACATATAGTAAATAGGACTTTAATTAATTTGGAATTGTGAGTGCAGTTGATTAAGATAAATATTGGAGACCGTGAAAGTCGAAATTGAAGCTGTTAAGTGTAACACCGATCTTGGCCCAGTTGAGGGTTTCCCCTTTAATCAATTTCTGAATATTTGCTTAAATAGTGTTTTCTGCTGCAATGGTGATTCAGTCCTCACTCAGGGAAGAAATATTTTGTTAAAATTAAACCAAATAATACTAGTATTGATGGCTTGTTGCTGCTCATTCATAGTAATTATTTAAAATTCTGTATAATTTTTTCAAATCATAGTAGTATTAAGCTCTTTTGATTTGAATTCATGCATGCGTATATGAACTATGAAATATGAATCCACACCGTGGTATTAAGCTCTTTTGATTTGAATTACATGTTTATTTGTGTAAAAACATTTGTGGGGCTATGGTTTTAATCCTAAGATTAAGCTCAAGAATTTGAAATTGATATGAAGTGTGTTGATAATTCTGACCTAATATTGTGCTTTGTGAACATGAGAGCTGCACATTTTAGAAATTTGCTTATTATTTAGTTTTTACAATAAATAAATTTATTGGTAGCTCGGGCGGACTCTTGGACTATGTTATTGTTTGATCGCATTGAACCAAGTATGTTTTTATCTTTTACTTTTGGGAAGAAATCGATGACAAAGAGTGCGGTTAGGAAGTATGCTTGCAATTTATTTGGAATTCCAAAAGGGAAGAAAAGTTGATCTACAAAAGTATTTGGGGTCAAGGAAATTCGGATTTAGTTTGTGTTGAGAGAATCGATTGTTGGCAATGGAACTGGAGTTATTTTTCCGCTTTAAGGCGAAAATGCAGTTTTTTATTGACAATGGAGTCATCTTAGACGCTTGTGGTTGCTAGAATCTAGGTCAACGCAGTGGCACTCATACAAATTCAGATAAAAGAGCGACGTGGTTTCTGAATACTTGAGGTAAATACCTTGATTATTCCTTTTTCATTTAAGTAAGAATTTCTCAATTTGAGTAGCTCTATATGGTAGGAACAAGGTCGCGTGAATAATTTAGGAATTTAATATATAGGAGTAGTTTTAGATTTCCTGTTATGGCTGTGTTGTATTTTTGCGACGTTATACTACTTTTATGATTGGTTACATATAACCCTTGTGATATGAAGTTATTGACATATATATAATTTTTGACTTATTTATTGCGAAGCGAGGGTTGCTTATAGCGGACGATTGTATCTAATTTACTGACAGCAAAGCATGCACCGGAGTGAGCCTAGTGGTAAGATATTTTGGCCGAAAGCGCCTGATATCCTCTATATAAGTTTCGTGTAACACTGTAATTTTCAGAAGCAAAACTCATATCGTTTC